TGACCCTCACTTTAATTAAAATAGCTCTACAAAAGCAGTTTAACAATGGATATATAACAGTCAATTTTGCATTGTTATGCCTCTAGATCTGCCACATAAAAAATAATTTGAATTTGTATATAATTGAAGATAAAATGCTTCAAAAAGTATATTCAGACATTGCATTCTTATCCCATTATTCCCATATCTGCTTATTTATTTATCCCATGGGATTAAAAATACCCAGTATTATGTACTTTGCAGGATTTTTAATCCTAAGAAGGGCAAATATGGGATTTTTAATCCTATGTCGCCTATTATGGGAGAAAAAATCCCATGGGAGAAAAAATCCCTCAAAGATTTTTTTCTCCCATGGGTTTTTGGTGGGATGAAAAATCCCGCCATTCTCCCATGGGATTTTATGTTTTGACAGAGGTTTATGAGAAAACTACTACAATGTGGAAGTTGATATTGACATGATGAGGTCAGAATAAAAAATCCCACCAAAATATAGAAAAAAATCTAATGTAGGTCTTTTCGAAAGGGTACCTAAAAGTCCGGACTTTGTCGTGTCCGGACTTAAATGTCGCAGTGTTTGATGTATTACCTGTTGAGGCGTATATTTGATTATTTTTGTTCAGTTTAGTATATTTTGAGCATTTTTTCTGCACAAAAAGCACAGCAATTTTTTTCATAAAGTACGGACTTCCTTAAAAAGAAGCTAATGAACACAAAGAAAAGAAATTGACACCAGTCTCATAATTTATTAACCAAACAAAATAATCACATCGTGTATAAAATTGCTACACAAGCTAATGTGTTAGGAGATATTATCTGTTTGAGTACCTGGTTGTTATTGAAGGAAACACTAGTTAGTATGTGAGGCATTAACGTTAGTTGGAAATATGGGTTAATTTGCATAACGGGCGCTGCGATGTTTCAAAACATAGACTTGTAGATTTAAATAACACTCAAGTACTTTCGTGTCAATTTCAAGTCTCTGCCAACTGACACAAAGACAACTGCACGATATATTGATATGCATATAAGGCCTACTTATTGTCAGACACACAGACAGACGTTAAAGATTTACATGTATTATGACCCCCCTTAAGTAGCTCCTGACGCATCGCTCGAAGAAAGCATTCTAACCTTCAAAGAGTTGTCACAGAGAAAACAGATATAATTAGTACTTGACAACTAACAAAATCATGAGGGGAACTTATTTTGAAATGTAAACATAATAAGGACATTGCAAAATTACTAAAAGTGAACTTAGGACTGAAATATCCTCAATCCTCCATGGCACCTGATGCCACCTCCGATGTTTTATAAGTCCGTGTTTTTAAATACTGTGCATTAAGTAAAAATTACTTGCATTTCTGGAATGGTCCTTTATAAGAATGAAAATACAGTTAAGTGCATTAATTACTATAACACATACCTGGAACACATAATATAAGTGAGACAACCTCCTCCCCCGTCCGGCTATGGTTTTCAAACATCACCTTTTATTGTAAGAAATGTTCATAATAGGGGTTTCAAATCAAAAATGATAATGGATCCAATTAATAATTTGCAAATTATTCTCATGACTGTCAGGCATGTTTCATATTTATATTTTTATAATATATAAAATCAAAACATCAATCGCAAAGAAATATCGATTAGTTGAAGAGGATGGTTTAAATGACAGACGAATAAAGGAAGTTTGTCATTTTGTCCGCTATGCATGAAGATTTTAATACTGTATCTAGAGCTAGGTGGTAGGTCGATATTTGTATAGATCGTGGATGATATGTTTTGTCAAAATATAAATAAAGTAAACTGTAAGGAAGTTTTAAAGACATTTAAAACTATGTATTTACAACAATAACAACGATATATCTATTTCTAAAAACGTCCTGGTATACTTTTTTCTATATCTAATATCATGGATACATGTACAATTTATCTAACGTTGGTATTATTTACAGGAACACATCGTTTAGAAGGATTTGGTAGGTAAAATATTAAGTGCTTACGCTGTTTTTCGACTTTTTATATGAAATTGAATAATATCTTTAAAAAAAGGCAATATTTACTTTGTTATAGCTTCCTTTATGGCTTATATTGATCTTTTAAAACAATTAATTTGTTTTTGCTTTCAAAAAAATATTCCCTACAAATGATAATACCAAGGTTGCTTTTTAAAAAAAATATTGTCATGCTCATTGGTTTCCCTTTTTAAATACAGTTCTTTCAAATAAACATACATTTGCTTTCAAGGGATCCGACAATAAACATAACATGAAACATGATTTGGAATTACAAGTAAATAAAACAAGTAAATGTAACACTATCCGCGGTATTTAATAGAATTTGATGTTGTTCCTTGGAATTAATTTAATCTCCTAAGACGAACACTTTTTCTTTCATAGATAATTTATCAGAAGGTAAAACAGCAACTCAATCCAGAACTGCAACATGTTTTCCTCCCTGTGGTCCAGATAAAGTCATTGATGGCGATAGAGAAACGTGCGCGAAGGATGTGGGTATAGGCAAGGGATCTTCGGTCAAATCTATATGGTGGACCGTAGATCTTGGTAGCAAACACAGCATTTACAGCATCAGCATATATTTTAAAGACTACAAGGAATATGGGGACTTTGGTATGATTTTATAATTAACTAAAACTGTTGAACAGCAAATTAACATCCACCTAACATGGGAGTTGGAGGGTATATTTTATTAATGCAATTTTGAATGTAGGGTCGTATTTCGGTAACTGAGTTTATGTTGTGCAAAAGAGAAGTTAGCACATAACGGGTTCGATGAAGAGTGATGTTTTGATTTATAGATGCTCTCTTTTTAAGGGGAGGCTCCAAGCTAGCACAAAAACTTTTAAAAATGTTTTTAAAACTTTTTCAAAATGTTTCGAAAAGTTTTTTTAAAAAATGTTTTAATCACCTGATTCTGTATGCTTTACCCCCGCGCCAAAGGAGGGGGGTATACAGTTTAACTCTAGTGTGTCCGTCTGTCTGTGTGTGTGTCTGTCCGTAACAAAATTTGGTCACAGTTTTCTAAGCAACTGCTCATTGCTGATGCTTGAAATTTCAAAACAATCTTCTCTGTGGCATACCATATGGTCGGATGGGATTCATTTTTGGTCAAATCCGATGTAAACTTCCTGTTTATACGTACGTTTGTCCGTTTCATACATGTTACATAAATAACAAATTTTAATCACAGTTTTCTAAGGAACTACTCATCGCAGATGCTTGAATTTTATTACAATCTTCTGAGTTCTCCAAAGCACGCCATATGATGGGATTCATTTTTGTTGAAAACTGATGTCAACTTCCTGTTGGTACAAGCATCTGTCCGTTTCATATATAACAAATTTTGGTCGCAATTTTCTCAGCAACTGCTTATCGCAGATACTTGAAATTTTAGTATATACTTTGTTAAGGCTTGCAAAAGAGTGGGGTTTATTTTTATATGAATCTGATGTCAACTTCCTATTTATATGTGCATCCATCCGTAATTGAACTTATTTTTATTAACATGATATTACATATTCACATCAGAGCGGGGTTATTACTAGTGAGCATTGGCTCACAGACTTCTTGTTAAAGCCGCTTCATCCGAAACAGGCGCATATTATCTTACACAATAAAAGTATGTCATATAAAAATTAATCATAAGATTGATTTAATAGTTTATTACACGATCCTTATATGGAAAACATAGACCAAAAACCTTGTTGACAAATAGTAGTTCCTGACGGGAAGTTAAGATCTGTTTTGAAGTCACCTTTGCAAAAAATCCTTTGATCAGTTATATCCAATTATGAAGAGAATGCAAACCCGAGTTTTTTTTCCAATAGTAAAATCCTAAGTCATAATATATCTTTTAAAAGTTTAGAAAGTAACTGAATATAATCCATAGTAATTTTTATATTATAATATGCATATTTACAGAATAAAGGAAAATCAGATACTTTTAAAGATTTTTAAAAAGGGAGTTTAGTAACGAGGGCTAGAATATTGCCCGTGTACACTTTGTTGTGGGAAAAATGCTCGGATTTGTTCTTCATGAGTTATACATGTAAGCGATAAATTTAATTTTTCGAAGGTGATTTCACGCAATGTAAACAAGGATTATTTTTTGTGTGACCTAACAAAAATTATTTTTCTATCTTATGAATTTTGATATCTTTTAAAAAGAAAAAGACTTTAGGGATATAATTTGACAAAAGTTGAAACAATTTATGGACAATTATTTTTCAAGAAGAAAACGAATATATTTTTTTAGCGATTAGGATCGGACCAAGCGGTTTTAAACCTTTTGAAAACATTTAAGCAAAAGTTTTGACCTAATGTTTTCAGTACAGTTAAGCAAAATATTTCAAAAAAATTTTAAAACGATTTAAATACGTGATTTTTAAATTTTTCAAACTTTTAAAACATTTTGCAAAAAGTTTCAGCAAATGTTAGAAGAACATTGTCTTAAAATGTATAACATTTTTCAATTTTTTTTTATTTGCGTGATAGCCCCGCTTGCGTTTAAAAGAAATTGTTTAATTTGTCTCAATTAAGAAAAAAAGAAAAAAACAAAAAACGATGTGCTTCATTTATATTGAATTTTACAATTTAAATAAATTATGAGCTGTATGAAGTGGTTTTCTATCAAATTTGACCGGTCACGGTAGCCTAGTGGTAGAGTGTTCGCTTCGTGATCGAGAGGCCCGGGTTTGATTCTCGTTTTCAGCGCCGTGTCATACCTAAGACATAAACATAGGTAGTTACTGTTCCTTTGCAAAGCGCTCGGAACAAGAAGTGAAAGTCACGGGTCTTTCGGATATGACCTTAAACACCTAGGTACCTTGTCACGGTAGGCGTTGGCACGATTAAAAACCCTAACTGCTCAATGGCCCTGATTGCTTTCACTATATGTATAATATAGATCTAAATTTGAAGCCCTTCACCGGCATACGGTGACGTCTCCATATGTGTGAAAAATTCTCGTGAGGGACGTTAAACAATATACAATCAGTCTATCAAATTTACATTGAAATATATACAGACAATTTCCAAATCTTATGTATGTTCTCTTAATTAGGATACGTGCATATTAGCTTTGGAATGAATCAATTTATAAATCAATGGTAGAAAACCTAACTTTTCCGTTATTCTTTCACAAATAGAAATTCTTTCACAAATAGAATTAGACTAAAACAGATACATGTACTTATGACCGAAGAACTTCAACAATCTCACACTCTCTCGTTGCATATCAGGGAATTATTTTGAATTATTTTCAAAATACCTGATCTTCCTAATGCTATACATTTTCATTTAATGCACTTGAATTATTTTCAAGGGATATATTTCGAAATACATTGCCGTAAGTTTAGGGAGCAATATGTCAACATTCCTAAAAAGCGACTCGTACTGTAGAATAAAAGATAACATTTAAAGAAGAAATGATATACCGGTAATTGTTCTTCAAGGATGTTTTTCAGAGCTCAGACAAAGAGGCCGTTTTGCTGGATTTTCCCTTTACATTTCCAACACTCAAAAGAAAGAGGACGGTTATCTTTGTTACAAGAACACACTTCCATTACCTCCCTTGGAGTTTAATACAACGTGTATAGAACATGGTCGTTACGTCATCTATTACAATGAAAGACTGGACGGTGTTACCTATCCTGGGGAATACCAAATACAGAGCATATACACAGAACTATGTGAAGTGAAAGTAGAAGGTTAAATTTTTTGAAATTTGTTTTGGTCATTTTTGCTATGATTTAAACACATTTAGATATTTTTACATGAATTGGTTGATTTCCATCATGATAGAAAAATAACATTTTACATAAACATAGTTTGGAATTATTGAATGGAACTTACAATGGCGATATCTTTAATAATGTTTGAATGATCCCCTTTTTCACACAAGACTTATGATATTGAGGCTAAATTAAAAAATTATATAAGATTTAAAATTGTTTTTATTGCGTATTTCTCTTTTGTTTGAAAACAACTCGTTTTATTTTTAACCTAAGATTGCTTTAAATGTTGAAATACAAAGCCTTATGCATGAGAAGATGAGTCAACTAAACATTTGACAAACTGACATCGTATTTTCAATAAACAATAGCTGCTACCATTGAGACTTTGACTCAAAATCAAAGAAGGCTTGAAATAAGATATCGTACAGCCTGACATATCTGTTTTATAATTGAATATTTTACTAAATAAATTATAAGAACCATACAATGAAGCTTTTTTCAGGATCTTGAACTATTTGGAGTTGATTCTTTTCTAAAGTTGTTTGCTCGGAAGTACGAAAATGCGTAAAATATCCAAATTCAAATATATATTTTTAAATTTCTTATCCCCAAAACAGAAAGACCTGTGAGATAAGTATTAAGTCAAGCTCGATTATGTAATGCTTTCATTTACCTTGCACTGAGTCATAACATGCATGGGCTCTGCATATTTTTATGAAAAGAAATATCAACTGCATACAGGTCAGAGCGACATAGGTGATTTTTTTTTTTGTTTAATGTTTTAAACTAAATACCAAATGAACGTTCCTTTAAACCAGGTTGCGGTAAGGGGTTTCATGGAAATAACTGTAACACACCTTGTCCAATCAACTGTCAAGAACAGAGATGTAGCATTGTCAACGGAACATGTTTTGATTGTACACAGGGATACGCAGGGGAAATGTGCGAAAAGAGTATGCAAACTGAGCAGAAAAATTGATAAATTTATTGTTATTTATATTGAAATATCTTTTAATATAAAAATCTTGATGTCTTATTTTCTAAATAAACTGTTACGTCTTTTAACTTAGAATGTGAATCGGGATTTTATGGTTTGGAATGCAAAAGGCAATGTAAAGGGCATTGTATAAGAAACACTCCATGTAACCACGTGACCGGAAATTGTGACGAGGGATGTGCAGCTGGATGGATTGGAATGCAGTGTGATCAAGGTAAAAATGAGCAAAAAAGTCTTTCTTGTTCAAACGGATAAAAGAGTTATGAGTAGTGCACATATAAATTTATATAATTGTAAATACAATACGCAAAACCCCCATTTTATAAAATGAAAGCAGAAGCTTAATATAAAAAAGAATATAGTGTAAGGAAAACACATGATTAAAATTAAAAAGAAAACATGTAAAAACAAACGATTATCACTTATTTCACAAGTGTTGCATCTTATAAATAACATTTATCCAATTTCAATGGACACATATGCATTTAAACATGGCATAATTTAATTACTTATAGTTCAATTGCAGAAAATACATGTTTGTATACCGTTAAAATGAGTAAAAATTGTATTCATTAACTTTCTTTGATTTTATTTTTTGAAAACAGAACGCACAAAAACATTATGTGTAAAAAAAATAACATTTTAATTGTCTTAAATTTATTACAATGATAATTAAAGAACATGCCGTGCTTGCAACATGGTGTGAAACGAGAATATTTGGCGCACTACTAATTTTAACGCCTTTGGCGCAAGAGCCTCTGAGCGCTTAAATTTATTGTATGCTAAAGGATTTCTAAATATAATTTCTGTATGTGTTCAACATTTTCATACCCGCACTATCTAAAGAAAGTTTTGGTATATTGTTATTACTCATGTCCGTCCGCCCGTCTGTCCGTCCTTCCGTCCGTCCGACTGTCACACTTTTTTCCCTGAACTCCTCCTACATTTTACAAAGTAGCCTAATGATCTTTTGGAAGACGGTTGGTGGGGTCATGTAGATGTGCAGTAAGGTTTTGGAATTTTGATTTTGCCCCGGGGGGTCAAATGGGTGTCGAAAAATGACGTTTTTTTTTATGTAAAAAGCCCCTTCTTCCCTGAACTACTCTTACATTTTACTCAGCAGCCTAATAATCTTTTGGGAGATGGTTGGTGGGGTCATGTAGATGTGCAGTAAGGTTTCGGAATTTTGATTTTGCCCCGCGGAGTCAAATGGGGGTCGAAAAGGACGTTTTTTATGTAAAAAGCCCCTTCTTCCCTGAACTCCTCCTACATTTTACTCAGCAGCCTAATCATCGTTTGGGAGATGGATGGTGGGGTCATGTAAATGTGCAGTAAGGTTTTGGAATTTTGATTTTGCCCCAGGGGTCAAATGGGGGTCGAAAAATGACGCTTTTTCTGTAAAAATCCCTTTCTTCCCTGAACTCCTCTTACATTTTACTCAGCAGCCTAATCATCTTTCGGAAGATGGTTGTTGGTGTCATGTAGATGTGCAGTAAGGTTTCTGAATTTTGTTTTTTCCCTGGGGAGTCAAATGGGGGTCAAAAAATGACGTTTCTTTATGCAGAAGCCCCTTCTTCCCTGAACTCCTCTTACATTTTACTCGGCAGCCTAATCATCTTTTAGGAGATGGTTGTTTGGTGTCATGTAGATGTGCAGTAAGGTTTCGGAATTTGGATTTTACTCTGGGGGGTCAAATGGGGGTCGAAAAATGACGTTTTTTATGCAAAAAGCCCCTTCTCCTCTAAACTTCAACTTCATTTTACAAAGTGGCCTAATCCTCTTTTGGGAGAGTTCACTCTTTTGAAATTTTGGTAGAACATCAAGGTCAAGGGGTCAAAAAATCATAGCATGTTGGGAAACATATTGTTATGGGTAATATACACGTGAAATGTGAAAGTCGTATCTCTTCTCAATCAAAAGGAAATACAACATTATTGAAAAGTAAGTTATACTTCAAGGTCAAGGTCACAGAGTCAAAAAGTCACGATACATTTGGAAAGGTCTTATCACAGGTAATATACATGTATGTATAAAATGAATGCCCTTTTATTTCTCTTTCAAAATGATCAATTTGAAATAATTTTGTTTTGACAGTAGGTCACACTTCAAAGTCATGGGTAATAAAAACTAGATGCTGTCATGAGACAGTAATACCCGCACTAAGGTGTTTGCCTCTAAATGAACACTTCTTCATATTGGGCTTTACGAAGGAAAAATCAATATAATTCAATAATTTACATAATACATGTATTCATCAAATTGAGCATAATATGCTCAGGTGACCATGTAGCTGCAGATCTGCAGCGTTATGGTTTTATATATTTGTCTTTGACCATAACGCTACAGATCCCCATATGCAAAAAAAGGTGCAATTTACGGCGCAATATTTTTTGCGCACTTTTGGGCAGAATTTCTCCACTTTCTAGCATTGGTCAATCAACTACCTTTCACTCCCTTATTTTAGACACATTCTGTAGTCAAAATGTATATTTTGTCCACCTTTCAGCCATTTATAGTCATCTCTACAGGCAATAAACTCGCTTGATGTGAATTTTATGCAATCTAACAAATAATTTTAATCAAGCGAGTTTATCTCGTGTAGAGACGACTATAAAAGGATTGGAGATGGATAAAATATACAGATTAGTTAAATAATGTGCCTAGAATTAGGGGGTGAAAGGTAGTAAATTGACCGATGCTGGAAAGTGGAGAAATTCTCCCCAGAAGTGTGCAAAAAATATTGCACCGTAACTTGCACCTTTTTGCATTACAGGATCTGTAGCCTTATGGTCAAAGACTAATATAGAAAACCATAACGCTATACAGATCTGCAGCTAGTGACCATGTGACCGATGGGCCTCCATCTTATAGGTATTTCTTATTCTTAATTCATTACCAGTCGGAAATTAAACAACAGAATTAAATTAATGATGTAAATTAGGTTTGATAAAGGGGGGGGGGGGGGGGTGGCACATAATTGGAACTTTTAAATATATTTTCTCATATAGATTAACGACAAATAATATTATTCAAATTAGTGTAAAGCGTTTTTGATGAATTTTTCAAAATGTGCAAAGTTTATTTATATTTGATTAGGCAGAAACTTCTTGAAAGCTGCCATATACACAATCAATTTAGTCAACCCCGACCCCTCTCCCATCAACACACACACACAAACACACCTTATTTGCCTGTTTTTGGAAATAGGCCTAGATGGCAAAGTTCAAATAAAACATCTTTTGTAAATGATAATTTTCAATTTGTTCTTGCACTATACATGTATCTGAACACCTGCATCACATTGGGCTTGCGTCACGTACCCAACTTAAGTACTAGTTTTACCACTGGCATTATCATTTTAGATTTCACTGCACGTACAGTAGGCTACTAGTGTGCATCATTGCATATATGTCAGTAGGAATTATTTTATTTTGTGTTTTAACTGGATTATATTTCATGAAGATAACAGTGCCTAAATAATGACAATAGGTAAGTACAAGTTTTGGTATAGATTTGGGTAAAATAGTCTGAAATGCAAACGGTTAGGTTCAGCATCGGATGACTTTTGATCCTTTAAAATTTCACATTCTGAAGAGTTATCCCCCGTTATCAACGTCACATTCAGTTACAAGATCCAGAACTTTTTTTTCTGGGAGTGAGGTGGGGGAGGGGGGGTTCCAGACCAGAATTAGCCTGGTTCCATGTCCCAGTTTTGCTTTATATACTCCGCGTCACTAGGGCCAGGTGGAGTACAATGGAATCCACCTGGCTCTCCTGCCTTGGCAAGGATGAGACAGGGGACCAGGCTAGACCAGAATTTCCTGAGAAGCTAAAAAAAAAAAAAGAGAAGTTATGGTTGGGCCTGTTTTCTAGGGTGGAGGGACACTTAGGGCATCCAAAATCATTTTTATTTCCTCCAGTATATATTATAGTCCTGCAAATTCCAGGGTAGGGGGGTGGGGTGTTGAGGGGGGATCTCCCAATCCACTTCCCTGTCCCTGTAATGACAAATGATCATGTGACTCCTAAATAGTAGGAAACTGTTTCCATTTCACGATATATAATTTTGTTTCTTGTGTTATTATGTTATGTAAATTTAATGGTATAAAGGTTATGAACCCCTAGAGGTCATCCCCACTCTCCTAATGAGCTGAAATGTTCACAATATGACTGCATTAAATTGAATAAAAGTGCATCAATGATATGATTACTTGACATTTTATTCAGGAATTTGTGTCAACCTATCTTCCTAGAATTAGGAATGAAAATCATTCAGAGACAGACCACACTAAACTATTTGTATAAACATTTTTTTTAAATGTAAAAACAAGTAGTAGTTTGCATACATGAACATTGAACAGGGGTCTGGGAAGGGGTGAGGGGAAGGATCGAGTTAATATTTCTTTATATACGTCTTAATGGTTGAAAACTCCTAAAATGAATGTTGACCTCAAATCTAACTTGTCCTCATTATTTTTCAAGTGGTGGTGTCTCCATATGAGTGAAAAATACCTGAGAGGGATGTTTAACAACAAACAAAATGACATAAAAACACAATATTGATTTGCGTTAAGAAATATGCAGGGGATTTTTTCCATCATAAATCTTCTTCTCAAGAACAGCAAGGGCATCATTGTCCCCCATTTTGGGGAAAGGGAGGGGACATTGAATCTCATTTGTCTGTCAGTCTGTCCATCTTATTTACAGCTAGTATGTGCATCTGTCACAATAAATTTAACCTTGGTCATAACTTTTGAATAATAAGAGATTGTGCTTTCAATATTTCACATGTACATTACCACAAAACTTTCTTAATATACTATGATTTTTTAACCAAAGTGAGACCTTGACCTTAAAGTTTTACCTACTTTCCAAAAAATAACATTTTAAATTGATCATTTTGAAAGAGAAAAGAAAGGGCAATCAAATTATACATCTTTATTACATGTGAAAAGACTTTTCTAAATATATCATGACTTTTGACTCTGTGACCTTGACCTAGAAGTTTAACCTACTTTTCAAAAATATAATATTGTATATATAAGTTTTGATTCAAAAGAGATAGGACTTTCATATTTGACATGTACATTACCTGCAACAAAATGTTTCAGAGCATGCTATGATTTTTCCCCTTTGACCCAATTTTCAAAAATTAATATATGATAGGGGTGCATATTTGACACACAATCTGCCATAAATTATGGCATCCCATTC